ACATGGATTTCATGCCTCTAATTGCCAGATGAAAAGAATGGCCCCAGGTAAATATTAACTCATTTTAGCTGCAGATTTTTTCTTTCACGGCAGGCTACAGAGAGAGAGAGCGAGAGAAAGAGAGAGAGAGAGAGAGTGAGGGGTGTGGGGCTCTCTTTTTAGCGAGAAATGAAAGCTTCCCCCACTCAGGCCTGTGGTGTTGTGAGGTAGGCAGGAATTTGAGACTCAGAGGTGGTTTCACTGTAGGGGTCACAGAGGAACCGACAAATGTTTGGAGGGTCTTGGGGTGGAGCGCATGCAGTCTGCAGCTGGTGGAGCGATGGCACAGTATGGAGCGACACACACACGTTCACACACACACATTCCTGGTAACACACTCCTAATGAGAAGCAGTTATGGCATCTCACAGAAAATTACAGCCATTTCCTGATGTGTCGGACTTGTCGTGTTTCACTGACAACACATGTTCACAGACACAAAAACAGCTGTTTAGAGTGTGTGGGTGTCTGCTAAAGATAATTATGTCCACAGCCTTAAGACAAATAATGCACGCATAAACAAATTACAGACAACACGTGCACAATTTTCAATAAGCATATGCCAAAATCAAAGTCTTCAATTTCTCAATTTCAGTCAGACTAGATTAGCCTATGATTTTTATCTGTCCACACTCTGTAAGAACACACACACACACACAGGAAGGATTATTGGACAAGTTGCAGCAGGCCAGTGTCAGGCCCTCATTAAACTCCCAGTTATCAGCAGAATGCGACTGGAGGTGCTAATAAGGTTTAGAAGGGTGCTATGAGGTGCTAACTGGCCCACACACACTGGCCCTGGGCAAATTATAAATGATCATATCACCAGTCTACTACTGCAGGGGTTGTTCAACTAAATATGATCAGAAATAGTTACAAATTATAGAGATCCATTCATGGATGTACAGGTCTGTTGGATAAAAGTTCAGAAATATCTGCTGTTGCTTTTTTCCAGGTGTCCAGAGTGGACACCCTGGCCTTATGAATCCTGGCCTTGGGCAGTTCCATAAGGACAATTTCCTTAAGCAGCCTATTTCTGCAATGGTAACTGATGAGGTGGAATCCACCTTCGTATAATCATTTTCTTAGCAGCTGTGACAAGTGCAATTCAGAGTAATCACAAAGCAACATCTCTATAATTTGTAACTATTTCTGTATGTTTTGTGATATATTGTTCAGTACATGTACTATGTTTTTTAAATATACATACAGCATATAAAGTGAGGGGAAAAAAGTATTTGATCCCCTGCTGATTTTGTACGTTTGCCCACTGACAAAGAAATTATCAGTCTATAATTTTTATGGTAGGTTTATTTGAACAGTGAGAGACAGAATAACAACAGAAAAATCCAGAAAAACGCATGTCAAAAATGTTATGAATTGATTTGCATTTTAATGAGGGAAATAAGTATTTGACCCCTCTGCAAAACATGACTTAGTACTTGGTGGCAAAACCCTTGTTGGCAATCACAGAGGTCAGACGTTTCTTGTAGTTTGCCACCAGGTTTGCACACATCTCAGGAGGGATTTTGTCCCACTCCTCTTTGCAGATCTTCTCCAAGTCATTAAGGTTTCGAGGCTGACGTTTGGCAACTCGAACCTTCAGCTCCCACCACAGATTTTCTATGGGATTAAGGTCTGGAGACTGGCTAGGCCACTCCAGGACCTTAATGTGCATCTTCTTGAGCCACTCCTTTGTTGCCTTGGCCGTGTGTTTTGGGTCATTGTCATGCTGGAATACCCATCCACAACCCATTTTCAATGCCCTGGCTGAGGGAAGGAGGTTCTCACCCAAGATTTGACGGTACATGGCCCCGTCCATCGTCCATTTGATGCAGTGAAGTTGTCCTGTCCCCTTAGCAGAAAAACACCCCCAAAGCATAATGTTTCCACCTCCATGTTTGACGGTGGGGATGGTGTTCTTGGGGTCATAGGCAGCATTCCTCCTCCTCCAAACACGGCGAGTTGAGTTGATGCCAAAGAGATCCATTTTGGTCTCATCTGACCAAAACACTTTCACCCAGTTCTCCTCTGAATCATTCAGATGTTCATTGGCAAACTTCAGACGGCCCTATATATGTGCATTCTTGAGCAGGGGGACCTTGCGGGCGCTGCAGGATTTCAGTCCTTCGTGGCGTAGTGTGTTACCAATTGTTTTCTTGGTGACTATGGTCCCAGCTGCCTTGGGATCATTGACAAGATCCTCCCGTGTAGTTCTGGGCTGATTCCTCACCGTTCTCATGATCATTGCAACTCCACGAGGTGAGATCTTGCATGGAGCCCCAGGCCGAGGGAGATTGACAGTTCTTTTGTGTTTCTTCCATTTGAGAATAATCGCATCAACTGTTGTCACCTTCTCACCAAGCTGCTTGGCGATGGTCTTGTAGCCCATTCCAGCCTTGTGTAGGTCTACAGTCTTGTCCCTGACATCCTTGGAGAGCTCTTTGGTCTTGGCCATGGTGGAGAGTTTGGAATCTGATTGATTGATTGTTTCTGTGGACAGCTGTCTTTTATACAGGTAACAAACTGAGATTAGGAGCACTCCCTTTAAGAGTGTGCTCCTAATCTCAGTTCGTTAACTGTATAAAAGACACCTGGGAGCTAGAAATCTTTCTGATTGAGAGGGGGTCAAATACTTATTTCCCTCATTAAAATGCAAATCAATTTATAACATTTTTGACATGCGTTTTTCTGGATTATTTTGTTGTCATTCTGTCTCTCACTGTTCAAAAAAACCTACCATTAAAATTATAGACTGATCATTTCTTTGTCAGTGGGCAAACGTACAAAATCAGCAGGGGATCAAATACTTTTTTTCCCTCACTGTATATGATGTATTGTATGAATCCCATTAATTGAAATAATAAAAACTTGATGTAAAAAAAAACATCTATGATAACAGTTCAGCTCAACATTCATTTTGACTTACCATAAAAACATCAGCGAACCGTAAATGGTGCATTTACACACTCCAAGGGTAATACTGGGAGAATCTCAATCGTTTTTTCTCGACTCTTCGTGTCCTCTCCTCGCCTGATTTTGAAAAGGTAAAAGGTAATCGAGGAGTGGATGCGAGTAAAGGAAACGTGTAAACAAATTAAGAGTTTAGTTCCAAAACGCTATATCCACACACTTTTCACATTTGTGTTTTTTTCTATAGAAATTATTGTTTATGGGTACCTTAATGTTTGTGTAAAATATGACTGTTCTCAGGTTTTTATTTGAAAAATGTTAATGTGTATTAATATGGCCTTTGTTGCAAAACGCTATATCCATTGTTTAGCTGGAATGGAATGTTTTGATCCTGTATATTTGACTGTGATACATGGTTGTCTCACCTAGCTATCTTAAGACAAATGCACTAACTGGATAAGAGCGTCTGCTAAATGATTAAAATGTCAAAAGTAAATATTTTACATACAGATTTCATATTGCTGTACCGATTTGTTTTTTATTTAGTAATAATTTAAAAAATGATGTCACAAATGAATAATTTACTGTCACATTTTACTGTGCAAAACCTAGCAGTGCTAATTCTTTCTCTGACAGTGAGGCCTACAGAGGGGTCTGAAATTATTGACACCCTTCATAAAGATCCGAAATAATGACTGTATAAAATAAATAATTCAAATAATGAGCTATATTGTATGCCAAAAAAAATGGGAAATTATATTATTTATTTTATACTAATACAAGTGCTCAGAGAAAGAGATTTGTTTATCAAGTAATATTTTTTTTCTCAGAAAGGTAGGAGTCAAAATTATTGACACCCCTAAAGATTCTTATAAATAAAGTAGTCAAAAGTGTAGTATGTGTCCCATATTACTAGCACGCAATGACTACATCAAGCTTGTGACTCTAGCCTACAAACTTGTTGGATGCATTTGCAGTTAGTTTTGGTTGTGTTTTAGATTATTTTGTGCCCAACAGAAATGAATGGAAAATAATGCATTGTGTCATTTTGGAGTCACCTTTACTGTAAATAAGAATACAATATGTTTCTAAACACTTCTACATTAATATGGATTCATTCAGGATAGCCTAATCCTGAATGAATCATGATTAATGATGTGTGAAAGTTAGAGGGTCAAAGATCATACCCCTAAAACATGCTAAACTCCCCTGTTATTGGTAATGGAATTTGTTTCAAGTGTCATTTCTTTGGATACAGTAGCTATCTATATTCATTTCATTCCAGTGTAGGTTTAATTTAATTATTCCTCCACAAGAACGTAATCAAACATGTCCGAACACTTCCGGGTCGAATTTTTGGAAAATGTAGATACGATGATGGACACTCAACACAGCCATGAGGAATTCAACAGGTAGGCTTATGTTTCTTTCTACACATCAGTGCTTGACTAGGGCAGGAGCTCATTGGAGCTGAGTACCGCACCTCAAATGTTATACTGCTTGAGCTCCTGTTCCTCTTATAGAATATTAGTTCAAACGTATTGTGGAGCTCCTGCGATCAAATGTTAACAGTACCAGCACCCAAAATGAGTACCGGCACCTATTTCAGTCCAAGTCAAGCACTGTGATACACAACATGTGGTAGACAGACAACCCTTGCCAATGTGATAGACTTGCCTAGGCTAGGTCTATCTACAACAGTTTTGATAAAGCCCAGGGCCCATATTAGGTCTAGTTAGTAGGCAAGTATGAACATATTATTCTAGACAATGTTCTTGCAGTTTTTACTACCTAGGCCTATTGGCTTATTGGCTCATCTGAGTTTAAAGAGGAGATATTTTATGTGACGATATAGGCTTATGAAATGACAGGATTGTTTTAATCAGTTTGAATTAGTGGTCCACAGATTTTCCCATGAATAACTGGTGTAATTAGACTATAAACTAGACCTATCACCAAGGTTAATTTTGTAAATTCTGATTCTCAGCCAGGAACTTTTAATCCGCATTGAAAAGGTGATTCTAAAGATAATGACCAGTCTGTCCAAAGATGAAGCTCCAGTTTTGGCCCTACCCAACTGATCCAGCTGGGTCAATGTAAGGTCAGCCACTCACTTTATTAGTATAATGTAAGGATTTTGGGCCTTTTTCTTATCCATACTGTATACCGCTATGTGGGTGGTATTTAGACCCACCATACTCATTCTGTTTGACCTTTGCCAGATGAACATGTAAATCTATTCAACAGACGTCTTATTTATGTTGTGTAAATATACCCAGCACATTTTAAAATCATGTTGTGTAAATTGAACATTACACTAAATGTGAAAAGCAAGGTCCTGCAAGTGGTCTAAATTGTTAAATGCATTTGAAGGAAATCATGTAGTTTTTTGTTCTCTCAGTCTATCTGAATGTGTGAGAGAGCTGAGAAGTCAAAAGGGATTTGTGGGCGCGGAAATAGAATCACATAAAGTGTTGAACCTTAATCCTTGAAGCTGAAATAACTTCCTGACTCTGAATAGCTGTCAGTTTGATAAAAGATGGAAAAAGCAACAGCTACACACACACAAACACACACACACACACACACACACACACAAACACACACACACACACACACACATGCAAATCTGGCGGTTTGCGGAGGTCTTTAATGTGCACAGGATGTGGAGACCTCATGCTTAGAACAAAGCGGACTGTCTGGTTGAGTCTACATCAAACCTTATAGCTTAAAGCCCATTCTGGCTCGGCCGTTTCAAATGTGAGAATCACACAGATTGGGAGGCAAAGGTTTCACAGAGGAAATGCAGTCGAGGTATGGGGGAGGCCCCAGGGTTTAGGATTCTTCTAAGAAGGATCATAAAGGTGACAGGCTCCTTTACAGAGCTGATCAAAGATACAAGACCAAATGATCAGATTCTGTGAAGAATTCTTTCAAGAAGAATTCTTCTTCATTCCCCACTTGAGTTTTGACAACGCTGTTGGCCTTCAAATGACTTCAGGAACTTCTGTCACCACGGCTGTTCTTCATCTGTTCCAACCCCCCCCCCCCCCCCTCCACCAACTACAAACTTGTGCAGAGCAACGCATGTGCTACAAAAAGGTCATGTTTTGTCAGATAGCGAACGGACAAGAAAATACATCCTTGCCTAAACAACCTACAGTACTTTGAAGTTGTTCTCTTTTTTTCACAGGGACATCTATTACAACGACACACAGCTTTTTGGTTCACAAAGAACCGTTGATTCCATTGTGGATGACATCTCCTGCATGCTCAAGGTTCCACGAAGAAGACTCCATGTTGTGCGTATATACAGCGTGTGGGTCTATTAGTGTACAATTTCAGTTAACTCATGCCAGATGAGGTAACAATGACCTGCTATTTAATAAAACCATACTACAACATTTGGAAATACCTTTTGATATAAGATGTTATGATTAGTTCAGCACCAACAGATAAAAGCGCTCAGCTAGTTTCATATTTTGAGCTTTTTTTCTGCCTACAGGAAGCACCTGTGTATGCGTTTTCCATGATTCCCGTGATCAAAGAGCAATTAAATTAAACTTGACTCAAAAGCATTGGTGTGTGTGTGTGTGTGTGTGTGTGTGTGTGTGTGTGTGTGTGTGTGTGTGTGTGTGTGTGTGTGTGTGTGTGTGTGTGTGTGTGTGTGGCCAGCTAGCCGCATCCAAGAGCTTAATCTCAGGTGATCTGTGTTACCTGGAGGAGGACAGCACCAGGGTGGACTGTCAATCCAGCTCCACCATACGTCCCACTAACACTCTAACTACGTTCCCCCAACATCGTAGCGTCATCACAGTATGGTCAAATGCATGTTGAATATGCATATAATGTTAGATATTTATTATGCAGAATCATCATCCACCATCTATGTCTGCAACACTGAACTTCTCCCATTTCAATGACATAACAGAGATCCGTAGTCTCAGCCAAACCTATTACATCCCGTGTTCACCTCTCTGGCCACAATCTCCAAGTTCAACCCATGTACTAATCACTTGGTTTTACAGAATCATTATTCAGAAAACAAACAACCTCAAGCTATTTACTTCTATTCTGTCTACTGTTTGTGTTGCATAAATCAACTGGTAACCAAACAGCCAGATTGATATCTCATTATCAGTTGTTAGCTTGAAAGCTAACATCATCTTGCTATGTTGAAAATTGTGTTTCTCTTATTGCGTTTCTGAATTGTTTTCTCAGGCTACTCCAGTTTCTTCTAATGTTAGCGGAATGAAGAGTATCCTTTATAATTATGTTAGAACTCATATTTCATCAATATTGTAAAGCGTTTGTGAGACATCCTTCCTCTCAGAACTATCCCTGTAACTCCTCCAACTTTTATCTATTGGTGAGGAAGAGTCCATCAGTCAAGTTTTTAGTTCACCTTGACCCGTTCTCCAGACATTGTGTCACCTGCTAAGTTTGTTTTGATAGTGAAGAAGGACGCCACCTTCCAGACACGGCTAGACGATGACTTTTGCACCAAGCTATCTCTTTGCATCATGATCACAGTATGTCCAACAGATTAACTCATGGTTTCTCTGTTCTCATGGTTGCTTTAAACTGAATGTGTTAATCATATGACCTATTCTGAATCTGTTATGTGTGTGTGTCAGGTTAAAGGTGTCCCAGATGTGAACAGCAGGATGATGGTGAGAAAGCTTTGGGACAGACACCCTGCACTTCCCCATTTTTGCTCTGGTGGATGCTGACCCATATGGTAATTCTACTCTCTACTCTTGTATCCTATCACACACACACAGAGGGGTTGCGTGTCCTGCTAAGCCCACAGACCCCTCCCTGACTGATGTGTCATGGTAGTTGGAATGGGGATTGTTTGTGTCGGCGTGTTCTAGCCTTGTGGAATCATCACACTGGGGCCCCTGGACTCAATGACATCGGCTGTCCCTCTCCATACAGCACCTCTCTGCTCCCCTCTGCTCTCCTCACATCGCATGGCGATTCGCATGTGTAATGCTTTACTTTGTTCTATCTCCCCTTAGCTACATGTCTCAGAGGATAATTGCTCTGGTATGGTAGTGATTGTAGTCTCTTTCTCTCTCGCTCCCTCTCTCTCGCTCTCTAATCTTCCCAGGCATTGGGATCATGTGCATCTACAAGTACAGATCAGTGGTGAGTCCTGTCATGCATATGTATTTCAGTACATTATCAAACATGGCCTGTGCAGTGTCTAACAGCTAACATGTTGCCTTTGATCACGTGCAACTACGACAGCGATTTGAATTGGCTGATGCGTTCACTACACCTTGAACATATACTTTTTCTATTGTTCACAAGTACGGCCCCCCACTGTACAATTCATGATCAAAAGCATCCACATCTTATGCTGTTTGGACATACATGGAGGGAGCATTTACTTTGTGTCAGGGTATTTCCTTCGTTTCATTTGGAAGACCATCATCCAAAGCAACTTACAGTTAAGATATATTCAGTATATGTCTCATAATATGCATATTCACCTTTTGAACTGACTGAATTGAAAACTGTATTAACCATAACCCTTCTGTGCTTCAGATTGAGAGTACCTGAGGATGCTCTTTTTAAAAAATCCATAAATGCATCATTCTTGCGTAATTCATACTGTATATATAAGCTACATTGAGGATTTTCTTTCATTAATTTATCTGGCATTAGCGCATAGCCTAAGCCTAAGCTTTAGGGCCTAACTATGCGCCCCGACTGAAACCTGGCACAGTGGAAGTTATTCTGTTGCTCAACAGTGCTGCAAAAGAAAGGAAGACAAAGTAGGTAATTATAACCTCATAACTGGACAGTGGGTACTTTGATTTTCTCAACGTTATGTTGTGTTATAGCCCATTTATATTTTCTAAGCCTATTTTTTATTTCATTTTATTTTTTATTTAATTAATATGCCAGTATTAGTTACTAGCCCACACAGGCATTCGGCCTACAATATGTCCATTTATTGTTTCAAATTTTGTTTCGTTTTAGCAAAACAATAGGCTACTGTTCATTAAGACTTTTCAAATTAATTAGCCTACATGCTCAAGAAAAACGTAATTGCTCAATTCATCGTTCAAGGGCAAAGTAGCCTAATTGTACAGTGCATTTTCAAAAAGGATCTGCAAGGTGTGATTTATTGTTTGACTATTTTTTCTCTCACAAAAGCATGCGCAAGGTGTCAATTTAGGCTATTGTTTGAATTTTTTTGTTTCAGCAAGATATTAGGCTACTATTCAATAGGCCTAAATATTCAGTGAATAAATGAATAACTGTTGAAGAAAAACGTAATTGTTCAATAAAAAAAGGGAACTGTACAGTGCATTTTCTATATTGCTGGTTAGGGTCGGGTGAGGCCTCAGATTTTAATTTGATCACATAGTCAGGCAGCTGCGGATGGGTTACAGTATTAGCAATTGCGGGTCGGTGCGGGTGAACAAACAGCAGACCCGTGCATCACTAGTTTACACAGACAGCCCAGTTCTGATCTTTTGCCAATAGTTGAACAAAAGATCAGAATTGGGCTGCCTGTGTAAATGCAGCCATAGGCCTAGTATGTATTGATTTGGCTACCAGCTCTGTCGTGAAATAGATAAGATCACACCTGGTGGTCCAGGCACAACTCTGTTTGCAAATCTCTTAAGAATGCATGTTTTGTCCTTCTTGTAGATGGAAATGATGGACCAGACCAAGGTGAAAGCCACGTCTACCTGCCCAACAAGCTGCGCTAAGGGGGCTGGATATGATCACACACTGCCACTCTGTGGTGGGATGTGGGAATTGATTTGGCTGGATTCAAGCGCTCATGTATAGACGTGGTACAGTTGCAGTGTGTTTATTTGTGTCACAGTGACCTGATTAAAAATGTTACATTACAGTTGTATATTATTGACTATTTTAGGTCATTGTGTCTGGATACTAAAAAGGTAAATGTGTATTGTCTGAAGTTTCATTGGTCTCCGGGTAGTATCGCCTGGTCTAGTTCCATGGAAGTTATTGCAGACTTTAAATTCCATAGAGGCTATGGTATCATCCTCAAACAAATCCTGTGGGAGTGCATTTAGACACTGTGACATACAGACACAGGCTGCTAGTAATTGTGCATCCAGCTTGGTGTGCCCACTGGGGCAGCAGGCAACCTTGTGGTTAGAGAAGCGGGCCAGCAACCAGAGAGTTGCCGGTTTGAATCCCAGCTCAGACAGGACAATCTGGTGCTGAGTGAGCTGGCAACCGGAGGGTTGCTGGCATCAGCCTAGATACCATTGCCTGCTATTGTGCCCTTGAGCAAGGCACTTAACATCCTATAATTGCTCCAGGGGTGCTGCACTGCAGCATGATTTCATCCATCCCCTCTGGGTGTGTGTCGGGGGTTGGGTTGTGAGCACAAAGACACATTTCCATTCTCTGTAAATTAATGGATAATAAAGTACTGTACATCTTATCTTAGTCAAAGGTAATGCCTCCACTCTGTAGCCGCTTGCTACAGACCCCCCTCAGCCCCCAAGCTGTGCCCTGGACACCATATGTGAATTGATTGCCCCCCATTTATCCTCAGAGTTCGTACTGCTTGGTGACCTAAATTGGGATATGCTTAACACCCCGGCCATCCTACAATCCAAATTAGATGCCCTCAATCTCACGCAAATTATCAACGAACCTACTAGGTACAACCCTAAATCCGTAAACATGGGCACCCTCATAGATATCATCCTGACTAACTTACCCTCTAAATACACCTCCGCTGTCTTCAACCAGGATCTCAGCGATCACTGCCTTATTGCCTGCGTCCGTAACGGGTCCGCGGTCAAACGACCACCCCTCATCACTGTCAAACGCTCCCTAAAACACTTTAGCGAGCAGGCCTTCCTAATTGACCTGGCCCAGGTATCCTGGATGGATATCGATCTCATTCCGTCAGTAGAGGATGCCTGGTTGTTCTTTAAAAGTGCTTTCCTCTCAATCTTAAATAAACATGCCCCATTCAAAAAATACAGAACTAAGAACAGATATAGCCCCGGGTTCTCCTCAGACTTGACTGCCCTTGACCAGCACAAAAACATCCTGTGGCGTACTGCATTAGCATCGAATAGCCCCCGCGATATGCAACTTTTCAGGGAAGTTAGGAACCAATATACACAAGCAGTTAGGAAAGCAAAGGCTAGCTTTTTCAAACAGAAATGTGCATCCTGTAGCACTAACTCCAAAAGGTTTTCGTACACTGTGAAGTCCATGGAGAATAAGAGCACCTCCTCCCAGCTTCCCACTGCACCGATAAATCTACAATAATCGAGAATTTCAACAAGCATTTTGCTACGGCTGGCCATGCTTTCCACCTGGCTACCACTACCCCGGCCACCAGCTCTGCACCCTCTGTGCAACTTGCCCATGCCCCCCCCCCCTGCTTCTCTTTCACACAAATTCAGACAGCTGATGTTCTGAAAGAGCTGCAAAATCTGGACCCCTACAAATCATCTGGGCTTGACAATCTGGACCCTTTCTTTCTAAAACTAGCCGCCGAAATTGTCGCAACCCCTATTACTAGCCTGTTCAACCTCTATTTCGTAACGTCTGAGATCCCCAGAGATTGGAAAGCTGCCGCGGTCATCCCCCTCTTCAAAGGGGGTGACACTCTAGATCCAAACTGTTACAGACCTATATCCATCCTGCCCTGCCTTTCGAACGTTTTTGAAAGCCAAGTTAACAAACAGATTAACGACCATTTCGAATCCCACCGTACCTTCTCTGCTATGCAATCCGGTTTCCGAGCTGGTCATGGGTGCACCTCAGCCACGCTCAAGGTCCTAAACGATATTATAACCGTGATCGATAATAGACAGTACTGTGCAGCCGTCTTCATCGACCTGGCCAAGGCTTTCGACTCTGTCAACCACTGCATTCTTATTGGCAGACTAAATAGCCTTGGTTTCTCAAATGACTGCCTCGCCTGGTTCACCAACTACTTCTCAGATATAGTTCAATGTGTCAAATCGGAGGGCCTGTTGTCTGGACCTATGGCAGTCTCTATGGGGGTGCCACAGGGTTCAATTCTTGGGCCGACTCTTTTCTCCATGTATATCAATGATGTCGCTCTTGCTGCTGGTGACTGTCAGATCCACCTCTACACAGACGACACAATTTTGTATACATCTGGCCCTTCATTGGACACTGTGTTAACAAACCTCCAAACAAGCTTCAATGCCATGCAACACTCCTTCAGTAGCCTCCAACTGCACTTAAACACTAGTAAAACTAAATGCATGCTCTTCAATCGAACGCTGCTGGCACCCGCCCACCCGACTAGAATCTCAGCAACTTGGATGTAGTCTATCACAGTGCCATCCGTTTTGTCACCAAAGCCCCTTATACTACCCACCACTGTGACCTGTACGCTCTTGTTGGCTGGTCCTCACTACATATTCGTCGCCAAACCCACTGGGTCCAGGCCATCTATAAATCACTGCTAGGCAAATCCCCGCCTTATTTTAGCTCATTGGTCACCATAGCAACACCCACCAGTAGTATGTGCTCCAGCAGGTATATCTCACTGGTCATCCCCAAAGCCAACACCTCTGCTGCCAATGACTGGAACGAATTGCAAATATCTCTGAAGCTGGAGACTCTTATCTCCCTCACTAACTTTAAGCATCAGTTGTCAGAGCACCTTACCAATCACTGCACCTGTACACAGCCCATCTGAAATTAGCCCACCCAACTACCTCATCCCCATATTGTTATTTATTTTGCTCATTTGCACCCCAGTATCTCTATTTGCACATCATCTCTTGCACATCTATCATTCCAGTGTTAATACTAATTGTAATTATTTTGCCCTATGGCCTATTTATTGCCTTACCTCCATAACTTGCTACATTTGCACGCACTGTATATATATTTCTGTTGTATTTTTGACTTTATGTTTTGTTTTACCCCATATGTAACTCTGTGTTGTTGTTTTTATCGCACTGCTTTGCTTTATCTTGGCCAGGTCGCAGTTGTAAATGAGAACTTGTTCTCAACTGGCTTACTTGGTTAAATAAATGTTAAATAAATAAAAAAATTAACTTGGGTGCCTGTTCTGTGAGTGGTGATATACCAGTTTCGTCATTTGGTCAGGAAAAACTCCTACCTCCAGCGCACATTTTTGGGAAATGTAGTTTTGCACTACTGGTTCAGTGAATTGGCTATAAATGGATGCTTATCATCCTAGCTCAGTTAATAGCAAATATGTAACAAATAACATGATATAATGTTTAGTATGTGCCACCAGATGGAGACAGTGATCATTGGAGCTCATGGAACAGTCCATCACAATACTTTGGCAGGCGTGGTGCCTTGCTTGTAAAACAGAGCCGATGTCATCAAGCAGGATGTTGGAAAAACCCAGCCAGAGAGAACGAGAGGCGCTACCCTACATAGCGGGGAGAAACCTCAACAAGTAAACAAACAATATTTGAAGACCAAGAACTGCATGGGATCGACAATAAATCAAGACAGCTCCAGGCAGTTAATTCAAAGTACACTATATATACACAAGTATGTGGAAAGCCCTTCAAATTAGTGGATTCGGCTATTTCAGCCACACCCGTTGCTGACAGGTGTATAAAATCGAGTACACAGCCATGCAATCTCCATAGACAAACCTTGGCAGTAGAATGGCTTTACTGAAGAGCTCAGTGACTTTCAACATGTCAGTTCGTCAAATTTCTGCCCTGCTAGAGCTGCCCCGGTCAACTGTAAGTGCTGTTATTGTGAAGTGGAAACGTCTAGGAGCAACAATGGCTCGCCGCTAAGTGGTAGGCCACACAAGCTCACAGAACGGGACCGCCAAGTGCTGATGCCCGTGGCGCATAAAAATAGTCTGTCCTCGGTTGCAACACTCACTACGAAGTTCCAAACTGCCTCTGGAAGCAACGTCAGCACAAGAACTGTTAGTCGGGAGCTTCATAAAATGGGTTTCCATGGCCGAGCAGCCGCACACAAGCCTAAGATCACCATGTGCAATGCCAAGTGTCGGCTGTAGTGATGTAAAGCTCACCACCATTGGACTCTGGAGCAGTGAAATGCGTTCCCTGGAGTGATGAATCACGCTTCACCATCTGGCAGTCCGACGGATGAATCTGGGTTTGGGGGATGCCGGGAGAACGCTACCTGCCCCAATGCATAGTGCCAACTGTAAAGTTTGGTGGAGGAGGAATAATGTTCTGGGGCTGTATTTCATGGTTCGGGCTAGACCCCTTAGTTCCAGTGAAGAGAAATCTTAACGCTACAGCATACAATGATATTCTAGATGATTCTGTGCTTCCAACTTTGTGGCAACAGTTTGGGGAACGCCCTTTCCTGTTTCAGCATGACAATGCCCCATGCACAAAGCGAGGTCCATACAGAAATGGTTTGTCGAGATCGGTGTGGAAGAACTTGAATAGCATGCACAGAGCCCTGACCTCAACCACATTGAACATCGTTGGGATGAATTGGAATGCAAACTGCGAGCCAGGTCTAATCCCCCAACATCAGTGCCCAACCTCACGAATCCACTTGTGGCTGAATGGAAGCAAGTCCCCACAGCAATGTTCCAACGTCTAGTGGAAAGCCTTCCCAGAAGAGTGGAGACTGTTATAGCAGCAAAGAGGGGACCAACTCCATATTCCACATACTTTTAGTCATGTAGTGTACATGGTAAGTTCACCGTTTAGGTAGTTTGCGAGTTAGATCACTAATGGGATCGCTGGACATCTGTCGCTAGCAAGCGCATGATCAATCACCTTTCCACAACTAGATAGCTAACAGTAGCTAGCCAGTCCACAGATACAGATGGGCCATACTTGAGTCATCATGGGTAACTGCATACATGGAGTGTCTAAATGTGGGCGTGGCGAAAGAAGAGGGTGGATAGACAGAAGTGGGTGTACGGAAAGCGTATCAACTAATTGGGCAGATTTGTTGCCACAAGACCGGTTCACTCAATACCGTTTTGCATGGCTGACTGGGCAGCACGACGAGTCGATTGTTGACTGTAGCATTTTAGCTAAGCCTAACCCTTTTCCTAAACTTAAGCTCATTATCCTAACCTGCCACATTAATTATCCTAACCTGCTGTGTTAGTTATCCTAACCTGCTACGTTAATTCTCCTACATTAGTTCTCTTAACCTGCTATGCATTCGCGGTGCACTGGGCTATGGCCAGTCTAACCAAATAACAGAGCGCTGATGTTACACCCATTGCTGTTGATCCACCCACTTCTTTTGCAATGCCCACTTTCAGACACACTCCAAGTTGCCTATGCAGTTACCCATACTAGTCATACTTCCAAACATTAGTTTAAAAGTTAGAATTTTACCTGGACCACCTCCGCAAAATGCGCATCAGTCAATTAAAATCTTCAATTTACTTGCAGGAGATGGAACGCTACATTGTAGCTGGTCCCATCCCATCAAATAAACTGGCACACGTAACAGCGTCAGCATGCTTCAGTTCGGCTGGCACCTAGCCGAACCAAACAAGTGTGCTTGCATAATACTCCCTTAAAAAATCTTCGCTTGAAAAAAGTGGCAATAGTACTATTTGTCCATTTTGAGATGCCTTAGCCAGTATGCACTTCCTTAAAATAGTCAGAATGAATCTATATAGATAACTCAAGAAATGTGTCATTAAAGTAGCAATATGTCACTTTTTGGGCGACCCGACCAAATTCACATCGAAATGTGAGTTATAGATACATCATTCTACTTGAAAGCAAGTCTAAGAAGCGGTAGTTCTGTTCTGTGTGCGCTATTTCTATGCTTCCCGTTCTTAAGTTTTGTTTTTGCTTCTTTTACTTTCGGTTTTGTACACTAGCTTCAAACAGCTGAAACAACAATATTTTTGGTTATGGAAAATATAATTCACAGCGGTTTAATTAATTAATTAATTATTTTTCTACACTATACTAGCTTAGTTTTTCACCTAAACTGAAATTAGGCAAACTATTAGTTTTAGCAACCAGGAAATGGCAGAGCGATTCCTGCATAGTGCAACTTTAATGTTGACGTTTGTCACGCCCTGGCTCTGGGACTCTGTTATGTTGAGCCAGGGTGTGTAGTTTCTATGTGTTTGTGTTCTAGGTTCTTTATCTAGCTCATGTGTTTCTGTGTTGGCCGGGGTGGTTCTCAATCAGAGGCAACGAGTGTCAGCTGTTGCTTGTTGTCTCTGATTGGGAACCATACTTAGGCAGCCTGTTTTCCACAGTGTTTTGTGGGATCTTGTTCCGTGTTGGTTTTGTGTTGTAAACCAAGGACTTCACGTATCGTTTTGTTCGTGTGGGTGAATATAAATAAAAGTATGTTCGCATATCACGCTGCGCCTTGGTCCACTGTGTTTGACGAACGTGACAACGTTTTTGTAGAGGAGATCTTTTTTACTTTTCTTTTTCTTTTCTTTTTCTTTTTTTGGGGTAGATCAGCTTAATATTGCAGATATATTGTAACTTCCATCAATGTAATTGTCTGCATCACTTCCAATCCCCCATGTTTTTTATATAGTCCCGTGTAGCGCAGTTGGTAGAGCATGGCGTTTGCAACGCCATGTTTGTGGGTTCGATTCCCATGGGGGGCCAGTATAAAAAAAAATGTATGCACTCACTAACTGTAAGTTGCTCTGGATAAGAGCGTCTGCTAAATGACGGAAATGTTTATATACGTACATACATATCCTATAAAAAATATATATTCCCCTTTATTACTTTCCAACCCCACCACCCTTTCCCTAATTGGAGTAAACTAGTGAACAACAATGCTTAGGCCTCTACTTCCAGTTTATACTTACTATATACATTTTATGGACACAGTCAATTTTACAATAATTATATTTTGTTTGTTTTTTCTCCTGAACTTCTTCTACTCTCAACCTCTCCGATCATTTTCATGATGTCCATCCGGTTTGCTTCTATATGCCATATCTTTCTAACTGTGCTCTTTCACAAGAGCTCCCAACCTACACTATATACTTATTATGGACACAGTATGCTTACATTAATAGTTATCTTGTTATTAGTTGTTGTTAGTTGTTATTAGTCCCATCCTTCAACTCCATTCACCACCCCCCATCTATCTCTTAACACCATCCATATAGGAATTCTATTTGCCATATATTTTTCAACTGTACTGTGATGTTTTACAAAAGTTCTGAACCTTTCTATTCTCATTGTTTCTACAGATTGTAAATTGAAAATAAACATTTTTGCTAAAAGTATTATTATATTATTGATCGATTGACTATGACTTTTCAGATCACCCAGTAATGTTATCTGCAAGGTTAGCTCCAGGTAAATATTGCAATCCTTTAGCCATTCCTGGACCTGTGTCCAAAAACCAGCTACAAATGGACAGTACCAAAACAAATGATCTAATGATTCTGTTTCTTCGCAGCAAAATCTGCAGAGCTGGGAAGATTGTATCCCCCATATAAATAACATTCTATTGGTAGCAATAATTGTTTATAACAATTTAAATTGAAAGATTCTAAGTTTTGAATCCGGTGTCGTTTTGCGTATCAGTTCATAAACACTATGCCATGGGATTGATACGTCAAAAATCTCTTCCCAACTATTTTGCAATCTATATGGGACGGCTGTCAATCCTTTGGTCCTTAAATTAAACTGGTATACTTTTTTATTTATCACAGTTTTCTTTAACCAATTACGTTCTTTAATGCAAGGCCGACATACAAGTTCCTTACTTTCTCCCCCTTCCACTTTCCTCTTCCATTTTTGCGGTAAGGCTGCAATTATTTGATTGTAATTTTGGGTAGAGCAGATAATTCCATATGTTTTTGTTAGCTGCATGTGCGACATAACTCCACCAGTCCTACCAATGATATCATTTACGAAGATTATACCCTTTTTAAACATTCTATCAAAAAAAATAGTTTTTTGTCAATTAGTATATTAGAGTTTAACCACAATATTTGTTGCATTATTTGTTCTGTCGTTTCTGGAGGATTAAATTGAAATTGCAACCAACTTTCTATGGCTTGTTTTAGAAATAGTGATATTTGGGAGATTATTTCCTTTTCAAATAACTGAAAGTAAGAGGTTGTAATCTGAACATTGGGTGAGACAATCTTACTAATTTGCTAGAGAACCAGTTCGGATTTAAGTATAACTTTTGTATGACTGAAGCTTTTAATGATAGGTCTAATGCTTTAATATTTAATAATTTCTGTACTCCGAATTCATATTCATTATATAAATAGGCCCGTTGAATTTCGTTTGGCTTGCCGTTCCAAATAAAATTGATTTTTTTTTTCTCATATAATTTAAAAAACTGTTCGCTAGGCGTAGGCAAGACCATAAGCAATAGGTAAACTGGGATAATACTAAAGAGTTAATCAGGGTGATTTTTCCACAAACTGACAGGTATTTACCTTTCCATGGTAGGAAGATCTTATCTATTTTTGCTAACTTTCTATTAAAATGTATTGGAGTGAGATCATTTATTTCCTTTGGGATATGTATTCAGAGTATATCCACATCACCATCAGACCATTTTATTGGTAAACTACATGGTAATGTAAAAATTGTATTTTTTAGTGATCCAATACATAATATAGTACATTTGTCATAATTTGGATGTAATCCAGAGAGGTTAGAAAATGTATCTAGATCCTCTATGAGGCTGTGGAGGGATTCTAGTTGTGGATTTAAAAGAAAACATGAATCATCAGCGTACAATGACACCTTTGTTTTTAAGCCCTGGATTTCTAATCCCTTGATATTATTGTTGGATCTGATTTTAATAGCTAACATCTCGATGGCCATAATAAATAGATATGCCGATAGTGGACAACCTTGTTTCACTCCTCTTGACAGTTTAAGACTTTCTGAGAAATAGCCATTATTTACTATTTTACACCTAGGGTTACTATACATGATTTTGACCCATTTTATAAGAGATTCTCCAAATTTGAAATGCTCCAGGCATTTATATATAAACCCCAGTCGTACTTTATCAAATGCCTTTTCGAAGTCTGCTATGAATAGCAGGCCTGTTTTCCCAGATTTTCCATAGTGTTCTATTGTTTCCAGTACTTGCATTATGTGATCTCCAATGTATCTTCCATGTAAAAAACCTGTCTGATTAGAATGAATAATGTCCGACAATATCTTTTAAATTCTATGCGCTATACATTTTGCTAGAATTTTTGCATCACAACACTGAAGTGTAAGGGGCCTCCAATTTTTTTAATGGAGTGGATGTTTATATTTTCCACTTATATCCTGTTTCAGTAATAATGAAATCAGACCTTCTTCTTGAGTGTCTGATAATCAACCATTTACATAGGAGTGGTTAAAACATGCTAACAACGGTCCTCTTAGTATATCAAAACAGGTTTGGTATACCTCGACTGGTATGCCATCCAACCCTGGAGTTTTCCCGGACTTAAAGTCTTTAATTGCATCCAGAAGTTCCTCCTCTGTAATTTCACTTTCACATGAGTCTTTCTGTATGGCTGTTAATTTTACGTTATCAATAGAAAAAAATCTCTACAATTAGCTTTAGTTAGAGGAGATAGAGGCGACTGAAACGAAAACATATGCTTAAAGTACTTTGTTTCCTCCTTCAAAATATAATTTGGTGAATCATGGGTGACTCCATCAATTGTAACCAGTTTCATTAAAATATTTTTGATAGCATTCCTATGTTGAAGATTAAAAAAGAATTTGGTGCATTTTTCCCCATATTCCATCCAGTTTGCTTTATTTTTTATAATATATTACACTTGATATTTCTTGAATAAATTTCTACATTTCTTTTAGTTTTTCCTCTAATTTATTCTGAGCCTCTATGTTCCAGTTTTTATTGCCATGTATCTGTTCTGTTAGACCTTCTATTTCCTTTGTTAGTATAAACTCTTTTGACCTAAATTGCTTTTGTTTTCGAGATGAGTACTGAATTGCATGGCCTCTAAAGGCACATTTAAAGGCGTCCCATACAATAAGGGGATTTGCTGTACCTATGTTATGTCAGAAAAAATCTGTTATAAATTCCTTTGTCCTAGTTTAAAATAAAGTATCATCCAATAGGCTTTGATTACATTTCCAATACCCTCGCCCACGTGGAAATTCAGTAAGAGTAATGTATATGCCAATTATATGATGGTCCGACCGCATTCTGTCCCCTATCAACACTTTTTTAACTTTTGGTGCCAACGAAAATGACATAAGAAAGAAGTCAAGACGACTAGCTTGATTGAGTCTCCGCCATGTATATCTCACTAGATCAGGATATTTAAGCCTCCATATATCTACTAGTTCTAATGTATCCTTGACATTAACGATTTCCTTAAGAGCATGAGAGTGATCTTACTTATTTCACCATACACCATAATGAGATACAAGTTTCAAGTCTATTTATCATTATATATGTTTGTAAATTTACCAATAAAAAATACCGTAATGATTGAGTGTCCATATAGCTGTACCATGATATTTGCATTGCTACTAACTAAGTAACCCTCCAATTGTTCTCCACTAATTCCCCCGCTAAAGCCCCTCCCCATCCCAAGTTGAGCCATCATCCCAGTGATCGGCATCCCACCCCCGTCCCTCCAGATCCCTAGGGCCCCGACAGACCAGGACCCATCCATCGAAAATAGCACACAGTGCCATCCTAAAAAAGCAGGTTAACCGCCAAAAGCATTTCCAATGCTGTCACCTCAATATATATATATATATATTAAATATAACTATTTAAAAATATATATCTATTCAAATATGCAGAGGAGATCTTAGTCGAGCAATTTTGCATCTGACTAGGATGTTTGGTGCAGTATTTCTCAAGTGAAAAAATGTGCACGATATGACGAGTCGTCTCTCGTTAAATGACAACAGGCACTATATTGAAGAATCCCTACTGTTGCCCGAACAGCCAATAAAAACCTTGCAGAAGTCCAAAATGAACAAAATCGGCACAAAATGTTGTCATAATATGCACAAACTGTTCTGAACTGTTTTGGCTGGGAAGTATGCAGAGGCCTTTAGCCTTATGCTATCCTCACCAGGGGGCAGTGATTATTTCCTGTAACAAATTCTGCATCAGCCTATCAAAGATCTTCAACTTTTTCTCCACAAACCAATTGCACTTGGCACTTTTAAATAGGTAAACTCAGCCACCAGAGGGATATATTTAAACCTCCAAATTCAAGGTTAACTTTTGTTCCCCTTTCCTTGGTCTGTCTCAATATTGCATGATCATTGCATCCTTTACTAGGCTACTTACTAACGTTTGACAAAGCTTGTTTTCGCCTATCCATTTCACACACATTCATGTGCTTTCACAGCAATAAAGATGTAGGAGGATTATACAACATGTAAGTTAATATTTTTTTTAAAATCAAGTTGCAGACGCTCGTGGTCTTGTAAAATACCTGTAATTGACCGCTTACTGCTATCACTAATTGGTTCCAAGATGCACTAAGGCGGTAAGGCCAGACACGACGAGGTACAAGTTCAAATTCCCCACAGGGCAAGGTCTTTATTTGAGGGAATAAATGCTCCACTGTTGGTCCTCGAGTCAAATAACGCATATGTGACAAAGTAGATGTTTATAAAAATGTATATAAAACGTTGTAGATGTAAGAGTAGGCCTATACGTCAGGGTTCCCCAACTGGTGTCCCGCGGGCCAAATTTGGTCTGCGGGTGGTTATATTTGGCCCCCCAAGTTTTCTGAGCCAAAAGAAAATACAAATATTGTTGGACATAAAAGACTGTAAAAACACCATGAAATCAGCTCCAAGTGATTTTAATTTGCAGGTAGCTTAGTGGTTAAGAGCGTTGTGCCAGTATCCGAAAGGTCGCTGGTTCTAATCCCCGAGCTGACTAGGTGAAAAATCTGTCGATGTGCCCTTGAGCAAGGCACTTAACCCTAATTGCTCCTGTAAGTTGCTCTGGATAAGAGCGTCTGCTAAATGACTAAAATGTAAATGTATTCCCACCCATAATAGAGAGACACGTGAATGATACATACAGTGCCTTGCAAAAGTATTCATCCCACGTGGTGTTTTTCCTATTTTGTTGCATTACAACCTGGAATTTAAATGGATTTTTATTTGGATTTCATGTAATGGACATACACAAAATAGTCCAAATTGGTGAAGTGAAATTATTTTATTTATTTTATTTTTTATAAATAACGGAAAAGTGCTGCGTGCATATGTATTCACCACCTTTGCTATGAAGCCCCTAAATAAGATCTGGTGTAACCAATTACCTTCAGAAGTCACATAATTAGTTAAATAAAGTCCACCTGTGTGCAATCTAAGTGTCACATGATCTCAGTATATAAACACCTGTTCTGAAATGCCCCAGAGTCTGAAACACCACTAAGCAAGGGGCACCACCAAGCAAGCGGCACCATGAAGACCAAGGAACTCCCAAACAGGTCAGGGACAAAGTTGTGGAGAAGTACAGATCAGAAAATATCAGAAACGTTGAACATCCCACGGAGCACCATTAAATCCATTATTAAAAAATGGAAAGAATATGGCACCACAACAAACCTGCCAAGAGAGGGCCGCCCACCAAAACTCACGGACCAGGCAACGAGGGCATTATTCAGAGGCAACAAAGAGACCAAAGATAACCCTGAAGGAGCTGCAAAGTTCCACAGCGGAGATTGGATTATCTGTCCATACGACCACTTTAAGCCGTACACTCCACAGAGCTGGGCTTTACGGAAGAGTGGCCAGAAAAAAGCCATTGATTAAAGAAAAAAATAAGCAAACATTTGGTGTTCGCCAAAAGGCATTTGGGAGACTCCCCACACATATGGAAGAAGGTACTCTGGTCAGGTGAGACTAAAATTGAGCTTTTTGGAAATCAAGGAAAACACTATGTCTGGCGCAAACCCAACACCTCTCATCACCCCGAGCACACCATCCCCACAGTGAAGCATGGTGGTGGCAGCATCATGCTGTGGGGATTTTTTCATCGACAGGGACTGGGAAACTGGTCAGAATTGAAGGAATGATGGATGGTGCTAAATACAGGGAAATCCTTGAGGGAAACCTGTTTCCGTCTTCCAGAGATTTGAGACTGGGACGGAGGTTCACCTTCCAGCAGGACAATGACCCTAAGCATACTGCTAAAGCAACACTCAAGTGGTTTAAGGGGAAACATTGAAACGTCTTGGAATGGCCTAGTCAAAGCCCAGACCTAAATTCAATTGAGAATCTGTGGTATGACTTAAAGATTGCTGTACACCAGCAGAACCCATCCAACTTGAAGGAGCTAGAGCAGTTTTGGCTTGAAGAATGGGCAAAAATCCCAGTGGCTAGATGTGCCAAGCTTATAGAGACATACCCCAAGAGACTTGCAGCTGTAATTGCTGCAAAAGGTGTCTCTACAAAGTATTGACTTTGGGGGGGGGGTGGGGGTGAATAGTTATGCACGCTCAAGTTTTCTGTTTTTTTGTATTATTTCTTGTTTTGCATCTTCAAAGTGGTAGGCATGTTGTGTAAATCAAATGATACAAACCCCCAAAAAAATCAATTTTAATTCCAGGTTGTAAGGCAACAAAATAGGAAAAATGCTAAGGGGGGTAAATACTTTTGCAAGCCACTGTATGTAAGCAATGTTTGAAATGATTATGTTTTAGTCAAACTACTGTATATCTGTTTGGGCTTCTTGCAGTCAATTTGCAGTCTACAAATTATTTGTATTACAGTGAGGGGAAAAAAGTATTTGATCCCCTGCTGATTTTGTACGTTTGCCCACTGACAAAGACATGATTCGAATCCAGGCTCTGTCGTAGCCGGCCGTGACCGGGAGACCCATGGTGTGGCGCACAATTGGCCCAGCGTCATCCAGGGAAGGGGAGGGAATCGGCAGGGATGTAGCTCAGTTGGTAGCGCATGGCGTTTGCAACGCCAGGATTGTGGGTTCGATTCCCACGGGGGGCCAGTATGAAAAATAATGTATACACTCACTAACTGTAAGTCGCTCTGGATAAGAGCGTCTGCTAAATGAATTTAAAAAATTAAATAAAAGATCAGTCTATAATTTTAATGGTAGGTTTATTTGAACAGTGAGAGAGTAACAACAACAAAATCCAGAGAAATGCATGTCAAAAATGTTATAAATTGATTTTTGCATTTTAATGAGGGAAATAAGTATTTGACCCCTCTGCAAAACATGACATAGTACTTGGTGGCAAAACCCTTGTTGGCAATCACAGAGGTCAGACGTTTCTTATAGTTGGCCACCAGGTTTGCACACATCTCATGAGGGATTTTGTCCCACTCCTCTTTGCAGATCTTCTCCAAGTCATTAAGGTTTTGAGGATGAAGTTTGGCAACTCCACAGATTTTCTATGGGATTAAGGTCTGGAGACTGGCTAGGCCACTCCAGGACCTTAAAGTGCTTCTTCTTGAGCCACTCCTTTGTTGCCTTGGCCGTGTGTTTTGGGTCATTGTCATGCTGGAATATCCATCCACGACCCATTTTCAATGCCCTGGCTGAGGGAAGGAGGTTCTCACCTAAGATTTGACGGTACATGGCATCCCCATCGTCCCTTTGATGCGGTGAAGTTGTCCTGTCCCCTTAGCAGAAAACAACCCCAAAGGATAATGTTTCCACCTCCATGTTGGACGGTGGGGATGTTGTTCTTGGGGTCATAGGCAGCATTCCTCCTCCTGCAAACACGGCGAGTTGAGTTGATGCCAAAGAGCTCGATTTTGGTCTCATCTGACCACAACACTTCCACCCAGTTCTCCTTTGAATCATTCAGATGTTCATTGGCAAACTTCAGACGGGGCTGTATCTGTGCTTTCTTGAGCAGGGGGACCTTGTGGGTGCTGCAGGATTTCAGTCCTTCACGGCGTAGTGTGTTACCAATTGTTTTCTTGGTGACTATGGTCCCAGCTGCCTTGAGATCATTGACAAGATCCTCCCGTAGTTCTGGGCTGATTCCTCACCGTTCTCATGATCATTGCAACTCCACGAGGTGAGATCTTGCCCCAGGCCGAGGGAGATTGACAGTTCTTCTGTGTTTCTTTCATTTGCAAATAATCGCACCAACTGTTGTCACTTTCTCACCAAGCTGCTTGGCGATGGTCTTGTAGCCCATTCAAGCCTTGTGTAGGTCTACAATCTTGTCCCTGACATCCTTGGAGAGCTCTTTGGTTTTGGCCATGGTGGAGAGTTTGGAATCTGATTGATTGATTGCTTCTGTGGACAGGTGTCTTTTATACAGGTAACAAACTGAGATTAGGAGTACTCCCTTTAAGAGTGTGCTCCTAATCTCAGCTCCTTACCTGTATAAAAGACACCTGGGAGCCAGAAATCTTTCTGATTGAGAGGGGGTCAAACACTTATTTCCCTAATTAAAATGCAAATCAATTTATAACATTTTTCACATGCGTTTTTCTGGATTTTGTTGTTGTTATACTGTCTCTCACTGTTCAAATAAACCTACCATTAAAATTATAGACTGATCATTTCTTTGTCAGTGGGCAAATGTACAAAATCAGCAGGGGATCAAATACTTTTTTCCCTCACTGTATGTTCCGGCCCCCCGACCATCTGTTCCAGAAAAAATCGGCCCGCAGCTGAATCTAGTTGATGATCCCTGGTCTATGTGATATAGCCTATAGTAGCGACAATTATTTATGTAACAGTGCCAGTAGCCTATATGCCTAGTGATGCACACTCACTCACACAAAACACACACAAGTTATCACACACACACACCTCATACTCACAAACACACGCACACACACTCACACATGCACACACACACACACACACATATACACACACACAGCCAACGCTGCTGTCCCATGTTATAGAGACGTTAAACCACTGGACACTTCCCGTTTCACACTGTGTATTTAAATACTATATTCTCGACATAGCTCATTCTACCATTTCTACTACTGTATGCAAGAAAATGCAAAATCCAGTATTTAAATAAATATGCGGTGTGTTTAAATTGCATTTTAGTTACACTGTTTGACACACACCGCATGTTTAATTATATACTGGATTCTTGACATAGCTCACTCTAACATATATTTATTTCTGTGCAAATCATTCTTAGTATATCTTATGTAAATTCATCTGGTGTACATACGTATTGATTGCATTTGGATTACTGTTACAGTGCTATTTGAGTTGTTGATAATTTTTTGTATATTTCAATTTTTTATTATTTGTTTAACATTTTACTGCATTGTTTGGAGCTGGTACCATAAGCCTTATGCTGCACCCGCTATAAGATCTGCTAAACTGTGTATGCGAGCAATAAACTTTGATTTGATGCGTCGGTCTGCAGGACAAAATTTGCCTGGTTATGTAATTGATCACGTGCAACTACGTCAACGATTTTAATTGGCTGTTGCTTATTAAACTTGAACTAAAACTTAAACTTGTTCTAATGTTCGCAACTCTGGCCCTGGAGTGGCAACCCTCATATACAGTCTATGGGTTAACCAGCCAAGTTTGACCAGCCAAGTTTGGTGTGATTTCTATTTTTTGCTGCTTATCAGGATGACAATAGGTTGTCATTTGTCACCCGCTGACGTGACATTAATATTTACGATTCTGACATTTATTTCATTATACGTAAATAAAAAAGACAATATCCAAATGTAAATGTTTAGCTATTATTAATATCATGAATTTGGCGTACTATTTATAGGGCTAGGTGCAAGCTGCCAAGTAATAGGGTATTAGAAGTACTGACTCCTTTATTAAGGAAATGTGTTACAGGAGGGGGTCGCAGTTCCGGAGCGATCCACTAGGTGTCTTCCTCCGATAACCTTGGGCACCTCCTCACTCACAGTCTGGACTAATCATGATCCTATTGGTGTCACCTGTGTCTACCGGTTAACCTGTGTATTTATGCCCTCACTTCCATGTGTTCCCTTGCTCAGTTTTCTCTGCTAGTTTCTCTATGCTCAGCAGTACTAATCAGTGTCTGATCGGAGAAGTATGTACAGGTACTCAAAAAGTGTTCTTCCTGTTTCTTTATTATGTCAGTCGTAGTTACTATTTCGTATTTTGGCTGTCAGCCTGTTTTTGGAGACTTATTTGCTCCACCTTTATTTTATCATGTTAAGTCTGTTATTTTGTGTCCTGGCTTCGGGACCACCAGTAAAGATCCTTGTTTCACCATCTCTGCCTACTGCCTACTAGTAGTCTATCCTGCACCGCACCTTGGTCACACCTCTCACCAACCCTTACAGAAATGCTCTAGCTATCTAACTAATGTTAGCTATATGCTTCTGAGTATGACTAGCTAGCTATCATGATTGGTTATATTGTGTTTGGTCTGAAAGGCAAAAAAAAATACATTGCTTTTTGAAGGAAGCCTGCAAATTGTTGCACAGTTTAAACTAAACTAAGATATAGTTTTGTCAATCAAAATCATACCCAGCAAATTACCAGTGTTACCTAGTGTTGATTTTTCAGTGTAACATTTCTAGTGTTGATTCGGGTGTTAAATCATCTCTTTAAGTGTTACATTAACACTCATTGGTGTAAAAGAACCCCAGTGTTGGTGTAAAAGAACCCCAGTGTTGGTGTTAAAAACTAGAGTTGAGTTTGAGAATGTGATTGTGTCAGTTTTACTCTGTGGAGAGTAAAACCTTCCCATCAAAACCACGCCCATCATTATGATATTTCTCAGCCTGCTCTACTGCAGTGAGATTTTTAGGGGTTCAAGTGAAGCCGGGAAACCTATTGTTATTCTCAGAAATATTTTCCTTGACATGGTCAAAAAACTAAACCATAGATTGGTAACTTTTTTTCTAAACTGAACTAAAATATAAACGCAACATGTGTTGGCCCCATGTTTCATGAGCTGAAATAAAAGATCCCCAAAATGTTCCATACGCACAAAACGCATATTTCTCTCAAATTTTGTGCACAAATTTGTTTACATCCCTTTTTAGTGAGCATTTCTCCTTTGCCAAGATAAACCATCCACCTGACAGGTGTGGCATATCAAGAAGCTGATTAAACAGCATGATCATTACACAGGTGCACCTTGTGCTGGGGACAATAAAAGGCCACTCTAAAATGTGCAGTTTTGTCACAACACAATGCCACAGATGTCTCAAGTTTTCAGGGAATTGAATGTTAATTTCTCTACCATAAGCCGCCTCCAACGTCATTTTAGAGAATTTGGCAGTACGTCCAACCAGCCTCACAACCGCAGACCATGTGTAACCACGCCAGCCCAGGACCTCCACATGCGGGATCATCTGAGACCAGCCACATGGTCAGCTGATGAAACTGTGGGTTTGCACTACCAAATAATTTCTGCACAAACTGTCAGAAACCATCTCAGAGAAGCTCATCTGAGTGCTTGTCGTCCTCACCAGGGTCTTGACCTGACAGCAGTTCGGCGTCGTAACTGACTTCAGTGGGCAAATACGCACCTTCGATGGCCACTTGCACGCTGGAGAAGTGTGCTCTTCACAGATGAATCCCAGTTTCAACTGCACCAGATGTCAGACAGCGTGTATGGCGTTGTGTGGGCAAGTGGTTTGCTGATGTCAATTTTGTGAACAGAGTGCCCCATGGTGGCGGTTGGGTTATGGTATGGGCAGGCTTAAGCTACGGACAACAAACACAATTGCATTTTATCTATGGCAATTTGAATGCACAGAGATACTGTTATGAGATCCTGAGGCCCATTGTCGTGCCATTCATCCGCCGCCATTACCTCATGTTTCAGCATGATAATACACCATGTTGCATGGATCAGTACACAATTCCTGGAAGCTGAAAATATCCCACTTCTTCCATGGCCTGCATACATGTCACCCATTGAGCACCAGACATGTCACCCATTGAACATGTTTGGGATGCTCTGGATCGACGTGTACGACAGCGTGTTCCAGTTCCTGCCAATATCCAGCAACTTCTCACAGCCATTGAAGAGGAGTGGGACAACATTCCACAGGTCACAAACAACAGCCTGATCAACTCCATGCAAAGTAGATGTGTGCTGCATGAGGCAAATGGTGGTCAAACCAGATACTGACTGGTTTTCTGATCCACACCCAACCTTCTTTTTAAGGTGTCTGTGACCAACAGATGCATATCTGTATTCCCAGTCATCTGAAATCCATAGATTAGGGCCGAATGTATGTATTTAAATTGACTGATTTCCTTATATGAACTGTAACTCTGTAAACTCTTTTAAATTGTTGCATGTTGCGTTTATATGTGGTCCTCTGTAGCTCAGCTGGTAGAGCACGGCGCTTGTAACGCCAAGGTAGTGGGTTCGATCCCCGGGACCAGCCATACACAAAAAAATAATAATGCATGCATGCATGACTGTAAGTCGCTTTGGATAAAAGCGTCTGCTAAATGGCATATTATATTATATATTTTTGTTCAGTGTATTTTCATATTTTCCTCAGTGCACAAATAGGCCTACATAATTTAGTCAAAGACGGATACATGTATTTAAGTTAATCCAATGTCCTCCTGTTGTTGCCTGTATGTCACGATCGTCGGATATAGAGGACCAAGGCGCAGCGTGGAAGGTGAACATACTTATTTATTAAATGATACACGAACAAAACAACAAATCGATACGTGACTTCCACAGTTGCAAAACACAAACCAACACGGAACAAGATCCCACAAACACTGTGGGAAAACCACATGACTAAATATGGTTCCCAATCAGAGACAACCAGCAACAGCTGATACTCGTTGCCTCTGATTGAGAACCACTCTGGCCAACATAGATATACAAAAACTAGACTAGACACAACGAGCACAATACATAAACTCTACACACCCTGGCTCAACAAAAAAGAGTCCCTAGAGCCAGGGCGTGACAGTACCCCCCCCCCTAAAGGCGCGGACTGTGACCGCGCCTAAACATCACCGAACAGGGGAGGGCATTCCTCCTCGGAGGCGGTTCCGGCTCCGGGCTTGACCACCACCCTCTACTAACCCCCCCGTAGTGCCCCTGGTCTGGTCTAGCCCCACTGGCTGGAGCTGGACTGGACTTCGGTGGAGCGGATTGCTCAGGCTCCGGTGTGGAGCAGCTGACCGGTACCTGACCAGGCACCGGTGAAACGGGCACGGGCTGGCAATGCGCACCACAGGTTTGGTGCGGGGAGCAGGAACAGGCCGGACCAGGCTGGCGACGCGCACCATTGGCTTGGTGCGGGGAGCAGGTACAGGCCGGGCCGGGCTGGCGACGCGCACCACTAGCTTGGTGCGGGGAGCAGGAACAGGCCGGACCGGGCTGGAGATGCGCACCACAGGTTTGGTGCGGGGAGCAGGAACGGGCCGGGCCGGGCTGGCGACGCGCACCATTGGCTTGGTGCGGGGAGCAGGAACAGGCCGGGCCGGGCTGGCGACGCGCACCATAGGCTTGGTGCGAGGGGCAGGAACAGGCCGGGCCGGGCTGGCGACGCGCACCATAGGCTTGGCGCGATGGACAGGAACAGGCCGGACCGTACTGGGAACACACACCACTGGCCTTACACGGGGATCAGGAACGGGCCGGACCGGACTGGCAACACACTTCAGTACCTCTCGCCGTGCCTCTACATTTTCCTTCCCTCTATACACCAATGGCTCCCGTAACCCGGTGGCCTTCTCTCCTCTCCACCAACTCGCCCCTTATCTGCCTCCAGTGGCCCCGTCGTCCCTGCCATGTGCCCCCCCCTAAAAATGTATTGGGGGTGCCCCTCGCCTGTCCGACGACTGCCCGGTTGGCGCCGCTTCTCCTCTCCTGCCTGGGCACGCTGCTTGGTCCTGTATTGGTGGGATCTTCTGTCACGATCGTCGGATATAGAGGACCAAGGCGCAGCGTGGAAGGTGAACATACTTATTTATTAAATGATACACGAACAAATCGATACGTGACGTCCACAGGTGCAAAACACAAACCAACACGGAACAAGATCCCACAAACACACCACCTGACTAAATATGGTTCCCAATCAGAGACAACCAGCAACAGCTGATACTCGTTGCCTCTGATGGAGAACCACTCTGGCCAACATAGATATACAAAAACTAGACTAGACACGAGCACAAAACATAAACTCTACACACCCTGGCTCAACTTAAAAGAGTCCCTAGAGCCAGGGCGTGACACTGTAGAGTCAGAGCAGGGGGTCCAGCTGCCCCCTGGCCACCCAATGCCCCCTGCTGGCCAGCCGGTGGGCTCCAAATGTGCCTTCCTGGTGGCTGAAATTGTGCAGAAGAACACCAGCGTGGTGAGGGAGGCCCGCATCGAGTTGTCAGAGGACATACAGGACAGGAGCACAGTCCACATAAGTAAACATTTGACCGGTCTTTGACCTTTTCCACTCAGTTGTGTAAGCAGAGGTCATTTATGTGTGTGTTAGGAGAGCTTGGTATGGATAGTCACCTTTCTAGAAATCCCAGGACATTTGTCATACAACAACTATTCCAGTATAACTATTAGTATAGGAAAAGCTACCTAGGTGAGATGGAAGTGGTTTTGCCACTGTAGGAGTCTAGTCGATCACTCTTTTTAACAGTGTTTATCCCCCTTTATTGATACAGAGCTGTCTGAGTCCAAGGTGTATCCCACTGTGGTGGACCCGATCAATAATGACAGAGCAGACTCAGGCACCCTGAAGAACATGCTGAAACAGCGCCCCCCTAAGATCTCTCACTTACTGCGAGACAATCTGCCCAAAGGTAAGCACCTGCTCACATGTATCCTGGTACACTTGTGGCTACATATTATATTTTTGTGTAACAACTGTTTGGGCATCCCTGATTTTAGAAAGACACTGCATCCAAACTACAGTCACACGACCCAATGTATTTATCTTGCAGCGTCTGCCAACTTCCACTATGGCAAGTTCTTTAAGAAGAAGATCGACGCCAGGAAGAAGGATCACAGCTACCGGGTGTTTTAGACAGTGAACCGGCGCGCCATGTCCTTCCCCATGGCAGACAACTACTCCGTGTCACTCCTCATAAACGACTACCTAGGCATGAGCCGACACCCCAGCATGTTCCAGGCCATCATGTGTGTGGGGCAGGCAGGTCACAGGAACTGTAGATGGTTGATTAAGGAGGATGATGGTTTAAGATGGATGGAGGTTGACTAGACAGGCATGCAGTTATAACACTGTTTTTATCTTAGAAATGTGTAGTTCCACTCATAGTTTTCCAGACAAGACGACAATCAATTATCAAAGGCCTCTCTTCTCCTTCTTCAGGGATACATTACAGAAGCACGGTGCGTGAGCAGGAGGAACACGGAACATCTCATGGGCCAGTAAGTTCCACGTGGACTTGGAGTACGAGCTGGCTGCTCTTCACTTCCTGCTTTTGTGGCCAATGACTCTGTTCACTCTGGCTGATGCTGCCAGGTACTAACTCAAATGTAGTAGTTTTTCATATCCTTCTTCTTCCTGTGTTCTGTAATAGCTCATGGACAAAATGAGCTCTTAATTATCTGCTTTAAAAACGCCCTGGTGGACACTGTGCTCTCCTACGCAGAAGGCTTTATCTTCACCTCGCTGCCCCCCATGCTGCTGGCCGGGGCCCGGGAGTACATCCAGACCCTGAAGGGGTAGGAACCAGAGGAACGTCAAGCTGCTGCACCAGATGCTGATGTACTCAGGCCACAGTCCACTGCCCCAGCCACATCATCCCTGTCAGGGTAAGACTGGTCTGTTAACCGAGATTCAAACCATGGAAACTAGAGAAGAAAATTCTATCAACAATGGCTGTTATATTTCATCCCTGAAGAAAGCGTGTTATGTTATCACCTGATGATTCATATTTGACCCCTTATTGCAGGTGGCGGACGCTGCGAAGGACACAGAGGTTTTGTGACGACATGATGTCTCGCTACAACATCTACGTGTTAGCCATCAACTACCCCACGGTGGCCCGGGGAGAGGAAGTAGGTAGGTCTGGAGCTGAAGCCTCTCTCGTCAGGGGAGTGTAACTTCTGCCAGCAGCCTCTCCACTTTGAACTGATGACCGAGAGAGAGAAGTCGTTCTTCTCCGGCATGAGTCACATGATATCAGCCAACCCCAGAAACGATATACCTCTTCCCCATATCAAATCTCTATTTAAGATATTTGTTCTCTTATCTATGTATAATTCTATCACAATATATGAAATATTCTTATTTACAAGTAAATGTTTGGGGAAAGTTATGCTTTTGCTATTGTGTTTTTGGAGCAACTATTCTGTAAATACAATTTATGTTGAAAAGATAAGGTCAGGGTTTACAGGAAATTTTTTATTTTTCTTATCACTTTGGTAGTGGAAAATTATTTAACATTATCTCAACCAAATATCAGCTTTGACAAACATTAAATATGCCCTCTGCTCTGCCACACTTCACCAGAGTGATTTAGCTAATCTGAAACCACTGTGAGAACACACTTCTGATAACTATTTTCTCTACTAATGTTATCATTTTATTCTGACATGGAGGACCTGGATACAGTTGGTCCTAGGGAATAGGACCTACGCGCATTCAATGTTTTTCAGAAGTTGCAAAATGCATTTCTATGTCAATATGTCAGTCATTTTAGCTCTGGTATGGGGTGTGCCTATTCCCCTAACAACACCCTTGAGCCAACACCTAAATCATAGTAAAATCCCCCTCTTAACTGTGTTTCAACATGTTGAAGAATGTAGCATTGTGCCCCCTCACACACTTCCATTTTACTTTGGCCCTTCAATATTTGCTCCTTTAACATTAGCAAAAGGCTCTCAGGCGGAGCAGAACAAGTCACCTCTTGAATTGACTATACTCATTCACTGTTTTCATTCTAACTAATCTAGGTTTAGAGGGCTTCAAATGGATAGTCAACACTCCAGCATATTACACATTAGTGCTTAACAGATTCAGAAAAACTTGAATGTCCTCAAAGAGTCAATTCATTTTGCAGCATTCACAATACATACAGACCAAATCACATTAAAAAACAACATTAAAATAGCAAAGGATATATAAGCAGGTAGACAGGATAAGTGCAGGTTCATTATCGAAATGTCAAAAATGGCCTGCTTGTACATGTTAATTAATGTGCTAAAGTGCTATTAGTCCAACATTGTATTAAGTTGCAGTATTGCATTCGGAATTAAAGAGTCCCTAGGCTCTGTTTGTTTTGACTTTTGGTTGTCTATACTTGCAGCCAGAGAGGAGGTGCTGGAATTTGGGGTGGAGTGGGTGGTAAGTGTCAAATGCTAGTGTTGGCCTTCTGGAGGGCTCTGCCCAGGTAGAGCGATGACAGCTCTTGTGGTTGCTGCCCCATGATTTTTCCGCAAGTCCTGACTATCTTGCTCAGCCAATTTTTCTGTGCGACCTTGGCATAAGCTTGAGAGGCAACTTGCAATTTCCATTTGTTCCTTAGTACTTTTACACTTCATATTCATAAGGCGACTTGGTCATGAGTCTCTTTATTACATGGGTCACTACTTGGGGTTCCATTTGTCATACTATCAAATTTGTGAATTTCATTGAGATAGTAGCATATTATCACTGCATAGTGTAGCTGATCAGTACATTCAACATGCCTTTCTTATTTCTACCAGAGGGAGGACCAGTGCACCTTATTTCAAGGAGTTGGGTTGCCTCATCTACTGTGAGTGCGGCAACTGCAATGTGACACTAGACGGGAATAATGCAACATGTAACATCTCCTTGGTTTGAAGCTATAGTGAGGGAAAAAAGTACTTGATCCCCTGCTGATTTTGTAAGTTTGCCCACTGACAAAGACATCATCAGTCTATAATTTTAATGGTAGCTTTATTTGAACAGTGAGAGACAGAATAACAACAACAAAATCCAGAAAAACGCATGTCAAAAATGTTATAAATTGATTTGCATTTTAATGAGGGAAATAAGTATTAGACCCCTCTGCAAAACATGACTTAGTACTTGGTGGCAAAACCCTTGTTGGCAATCACAGAGGTCAGACATTTCTTGTAGTTGGCCACCAGGTTTGCACACATCTCAGGAGGGATTTTGTCCCACTCCTCTTTGCAGATCTTCTCCAAGTCATTAAGGTTTCGAGGCTGACGTTTGGCAACTCAAACCTTCAGCTCCCTCCACAGATGTTCTATGGGATTAAGGTCTGGAGACTGACTAGGCCACTCCAGGACCTTAATGTGCTTCTTCTTGAGCCACTCCTTTGTTGCCTTGGCTGTGTGTTTTGGGTCATTGTCATGCTGGAATACCCATCCACGACCCATTTTCAATGCCCTGGCTGAGGGAAGGAGGTTCTCACCCAAGATTTGACGGTACATAGCCCCGTCCATCGTCCCTTTGATGCGGTGAAGTTGTCCTGTCCCCTTAGCAGAAAAACACCCCCAAAGCATAATGTTTCCACCTCCATGTTTGACGGTGGGGATGGTGTTCTTGGGGTATTAGGCAACATTCCTCCTCCTCCAAACACGGCGAGTTGAGTTGATGCCAAAGAGATCCATTTTGGTCTCATCTGACCACAACCACTTTCACCCAGTTCTCCTCTGAATCATTCAGATGTTCATTGGCAAACTTCAGACGGCCCTGTATATGTGCTTTCTTGAGCAGGGGGACCTTGCGGGCGCTGCAGGATTTCAGTCCTTCACGGCGTAATGTGTTACCAATTGTTTTCTTGGTGACTATGGTCCCAGCTGCCTTGAGATCATTGACAAGATCCTCCAGTGTAGTTCTGGGCTGATTCCTCACCGTTCTCATGATCATTGCAACTCCACGAGGTGAGATCTTGCATGGAGCCCCAGGCCGAGGGAGATTGACAGTTATTTTGTGTTTCTTCCATTCGCGAATAATCGCACCAATTGTTGTCACCTTCTCACCAAGCTGCTTGGCGATGGTCTTGTAGCCCATTCCAGCCTTGTGTAGGTCTACAATCTTGTCTCTGACATCCTTGGAGAGCTCTTTGGTCTTGGCCATGGTGGAGAGTTTGGAATCTGATTGATTGATTGCTTCTGTGGACAGGTGACTTTTATACAGGTAACAAACTGAGATTAGGAGCACTCCCTTTAAGAGTGTGCTCCTAATCTCAGCTCATTACCTGTATAAAAGACACCTGGGAGCCAGAAATCTTTCTGATTGAGAGGGGGTCAAATATTTATTTCCCTCATTAAAATACAACGACATGTGTTTTTCTGGATTTTTTTGTTGTTATTCTGTCTCTCACTGTTCAAATAAACCTACCATTCAAATTATAGACTGATCATTTCTTTGTCAGTGGGCAAACGTACAAAATCAGCAGGTGATCAAATACTTTTTTCCCTCACTGTATATCAATGCTTTGAAGACATGCCATACTATATAAACCATATTCTTATCATGATCTACACCCAACTTAAATAGTTTCATATTGATCATGTTAATTTGTCAGGATATAAATATTTTAACAAATATATTTTGCCTGTGTAGGGTTGAAGCTGTCAACAACATGATAAAGTGCCATGGTTAACAGGTTTGCACTATGTGCCAAAGGCCTTCATCATTTCCAATGTGCCACATCAATTAGGAGAAAAAAACACTTGTCTTCTCTATTATTTATGAGGTTACCTACACACCAGAAGAGGCTGGTGGGAGGAGCTATAGGAGGACGGGCTCATTGTAATGGCTGGAATGGAATCCATGGAACAGTATCAAACACATCAACCACGTTGACTCCGTTCCATTTATTCCATGCCAGCCATTACAATGAGCCCATCCTCCTAAAGCTCCTCCCACCAGCCTCCTCTGCTACACACTTAACATCTGCACATGACGAGCGTGTGCATGAGCGGGTGAGTGAGGGGGTTCAAAGCAGCACTCTCGACATGCAAAGCCAGGATCCTGCAAATCAAATATATTTCCTGCCGTTCCTAAGAGAGAGAGAGAGAGGGAGAGAATTACCATGAGGTCATATTCTGAGAGTATTATGTAATTGGAATGCTTCTCTGAGTGCCCTAGTCAAGTGACCAGCACCACTTCATGCAAAGCCAGGCATCATTGATCATAATGACATTCTCATGCCACTTCAGCAGTGAGAGACTGTGTTTATATCCTCTTTTTAAATAATTTAGAGTTATGATTTTATTGTTTAATATGTTATTGTTTTGTGTATGTAATCGGCTACAGGACAGCAGTCATCTGGTTATAGTACACAGCAATATTCAGAGTGCATTTCATTATGATGTGCATTTAAAATGAAAACCTATGTATGTGGCTGCAAATGTGTGGTGAAACAATGTTTTTAAATGGGGTTACTTTGAAATATGTATGAAACTATGTACGGCATTTACCTAGTAATAACCATGTAATGTTCATGTTATGGTTTCAAAAGCTGCTGAATCAAAGCTGTTGAATCAAGTAAATGTTTGACTCAATCCCAAAACGCAAACCCAATCCCAGTCTCTAATTTCCCGCTCCAGAATGTAATTCACAGAGTAAACTTTCCTGGCTCTTTGTGCACTTGGCAGAATGTTCTGTACACTACGTTCTGTATTTGACCAAATTTTTCTTACACTTACTCACATCATTCATGATAGTTTATATGCACACCCTGCAGTTCCTTATCAAGGCAGAACAGAGGCAAGCCTCTGCACTGCACACTCTCTGGGGAGAAAACTGTGTGCATGCATGTGGGTGAGAAGACAACACGTGTGTGTGTGTGTGTGTGTGTGTGTGTGTGTGTGTGTTTGTGTGAGAGAGAGAGATTGTAAATGCAGGTTCAGCTCCCCCTCCATTTTGCGTTAATCCTGCGAGCGCTGCACATCTGTGTCTCTCCCATTCACGTGCACAGACAGATGAGCTGCATGGCTGGCTTCCCATTGCACGCACACAAACACACTCTTTCCATCTTTCTCTTTAGCACACACACATTCTTTTTCTCTCACACACAAAAACACACACTGAGGGTGGTCCTGGGGATTCTTGCCACTGCAGTCATCGTCTTTGTAGTCCTCAATGTGATGATAACAAATCACAAAATCCTGTGCTTCTTTTTCTGAAAGAAAGAGAGCAAGATATCTCTTCTGGTAAGATATACATGTAGGCCAGGTAGCTCAGTGTTTCTGAAAAGGTTAGTGACTAAAATAATCAGGGTCTAAGCATTATATGAATGTAACATTGGTGTTATAAAGAAACTACACTATGGCTCTGATTACAGATAATGGATCTGACAGTGACAGAGGATAAAATCAGAGGGTAGAGGTGGGATGTAGGCTATGTGAAATGAAGAGGAAGGAAAATCTGCAGACAGCATACAACACACTAGTAATTGCGTGGAATTCTATGAAAAATGATCAAATGAAAGCAGGACAATTTAGTGGACTGTTCCCCCACCAACAGAATCCCAAATCGACCAACCCCTGTTCAGAACCGGCATGCCATGAGACTGGCGAGGATAAGGTTCAATGGTATTACAAGATATCATCTCAAATATTGTGTTTTGGCCAGCATCCAGTAGAAAGATCAATAAGGCTAAACTGTGGAACTGTGTTTAGTTCATATGCAAATATTTACATTGATATGACCACACATTGACCAAGAATAAAACCACCACTGCATACAAATGACAAAAGAGAAAAGAGCAGATAGTGGTCTGCAATGAATTATGCTGTATAGCTTAATTTTTTAACATCATAAATGAGTGAATAGACCTGTTTTAATATTGCAATGATTGATCGAATAATGTATTTTCTGTAGGCCTACTTTCATAATTTAAAAAATGGTCAAAATCATAAGACACTACCCAATAGGTTATTTATTACACAGTAATAGCCTAGAGGAGGGATCATAAAACAATTTTAGCAATCTCCTTCTGTCTTTAAATTGAAGCACCTCCCTCTTGAGTTCCTCCACTGTCAACTACATTTCCTCTGCATCGGAATGGCAAAAGGAGAACGTGTTCCAAGTAGTGCGATTGTCAGTGTAGAATAGTTGATAGTGTATTAATGTCTGGTGTTATTATTTCATAGGAAAACATTTACTCGTATTTGCTTACCTGGGCGAGTGGATACGTGGTGAGTAACCTACAAGGTCAGATGGACATTGGATTAGGGAAATCAACGCTCCCGCTCTAAAGAAAGTGATACATTAGAAGTATGTCATTATCGCAACATTTGAGCTTTGATGTTTGAGGTTAACACGTTACAGTGTTTGTCCTGCGAAGTTATTCGGCACTCTGTGTACAATGTAGCGACATTTATGTATTACTTGCATGAATGTAACATGATATTTCGTTCGATATGACTAATGTGACGCCAAGTAAAAGCGTAGAATGGCTCCAACTCGAGTTGGAATCCGGGGGAAGTTCGCTGCTTTTGTTGGACTGCCGATCGCACGAACTTTATGAATCATCCCACATAGAAACGGCCATCAATTTGGCCATACCAGGTTTGATGCTGCGAAGGTTCAAGAAGGGCAACATACCCATCCGAACTATCATCCCGAACCACGAAGACAAGGAGAAATTCGTTAGACGTTCTAATACGGATACAGTGATTCTGTACGATGAGTGCACTGTGGACTGGCAGGATGGGGCCACTGGTTCGGTTCTGGGACTACTTCTTCAGAAACTATGGGACGACGGCTGTAAAGCATATTACCTGGAAGGCAAGTTAAATTTTTGCCATATTGTTTTTAAAGTTGTTTTGGGTAATGTATCCTATTCCTTGTCTAATCTAACTTTCCGGGCACTGTATGTATAATAGGGTAAAATATATTTTTAAGACAAACAGCTCAAATTAATCCATCTTAATTATATAGATAGTATTTATAATACAACTTCGTTTTGAATGTACATAATTATCTCTCAAACTTTGAGAAGTAGTGTGACTGAGTCTCAAGAAAAATTCCAAAATGGCTGCGCCATGTTTTGCTACTGCAGGAAAAGGGCATGTATTTCGTGAATGGTCTGCTGTGAAGGAGAGAACTATTGCCATACAGTTCTTAGTTATAGTATACATAACATGAAATTGTTATTTACTCAGCCCTAATCACGTTATTCATGTTATTCATAGTAATCAAAACATATTATAGCCTATTATTTCATTAGACCACATGTCAGTTATTATGTCAACTCAAATAAATAATATTTATTCCCAATCTCTGTGCAGTTGTTACAGTTTGAATAATAATTATATGAATGTAATGCTTGGCTGAGATACATAGGATAACACAATGAACACACACCATTTTATAACTCCTTGGTTCTTTTGATCTTAGGGGGATTTGTGAAGTTTCAGACCGAGTACTCAGAGCACTGTGAGACCCTCCTGGACAGCTGCTGTCCCAGCTCCTCTCCTCCGCTGTCTGTCCTAGGCTTTGGAAGTCTCCGGATTAGTTCCGACCTCTCCGATGGTGAGTCGGACCGCGAGCCGAGTAGCGCAACCGAGTCTGAGGAGAGCCCCCTTCCAAACAACCAACCTGCCTTCCCAGTCCAGATCCTCCCCTACCTTTACCTGGGCTGTGCCAAAGACTCCACCAACCTAGATGTGCTGGGCCAGTACAACATCAAGTACATCCTGAACGTCACGCCCAACCTCCCCAACATGTTTGAACATGACGGCCTCTTCAAGTACAAGCAGATCCCCATCTCGGACCACTGGAGTCAGAACCTGTCCCAGTTCTTTCCAGAGGCCATATCCTTCATCGGTGAGTAGCCGACTATGTGGGAGAGAACATGATAGATCACATTGTGTTCCAACAGTTAATATATTTGGTGAACGAGGCATATAGGAAATGACACACAGGCACACCTAGTATATGATGTCCCGTGTAGCTCAGTTGGTAGGGCATGTCGTGTGCAACGCCAGGGTTGTGCGTTCGATTCCCACAAGTTGCTCTGGATAAAAGTGTCTGCTAAATTATGTAAATATGATACACTTCTGTTTATTACAGTGAGAGAGGAAGTTGGTTGCTAGCCACCGAATGTTCTTTTTGTATTTTAGTCATATTTCGATTCTGATTTGAATCATTATTATCTCTCAGTTCCTGGAATATTCCCAGTGGCATTGCTCATTACTGAAACCCCCTTGTGTGATGAAGCTAGGGTTTTTACTTAGATTTTCACCTTCGGTAATCAATGTCCCGATTCGACATAACTTCTCAAAAAGAGAAATGGAATGAAGTCCCATGCTACTGAGCGCTGACCTAGAGGAACTTCCTGGATCATTGTTAGTGTCGTATGTCTGTTATTTTAAGATGGAAAACAAATCTTTAAAAAACAACTTACTGAAACCCACAGCAGCACCTGAAACCTTCTTGTGCTAGTTGTGTTTCCAGGCTTGTTTTGCCCTAGTTTGTCGGTGGGGTTAGTGGTAGAAGAAGGAAACATGGCTTCCACTCTCTGTGGCTGCCTGTGTTTGGTTATCAGGTCATGAGTCTGACTTTGACACATCCTGGTTGTGGGTTAGGGTTAGGTTTAGTGCAGGGCGTTTCACCATACTTGTTTGCTTACTTCTCTCGGCTCGAAAGAGGATATGTGGCCTGTTCTTGTGTAGATTGAAGTGGATGTTTACTGTAGAAATAATAAACCTCAATGTCAAAGGCTTACAGCAGCACATGATGAAGTCTAGCTAGCTAAGTTGAAGACTGACAGCTCCGGCCATCAGTAGTCTGCATGTAGAACTGTCATAATAAAGCAGAGGAAGACCTTGGGTCATGCTCTGGGGTGTCACATAAAGTTAGCTTGAATTATGTATACAGTATTACACACTTCAATAGCAACATAAATTATGAAGAATCGAAGAATTATGTTTTAATGTGACTCCATAATAGAGGGTTGTGGAATGGCTGCGATTAGCTCACTATTAATAATACTCCTTTTGATGAATGGAGATGTGTCATTCAACAAAGATAAAGGTCTACTTACTGTCTCCCTTGATCCTCATGAGCAAACAATAAGAAGTAGGCTTCTGTGTTGGGCCATGTTACCTCTTCTGTGTTGGGTCATGTTACCGCTTCTGTGTTGGGCCATGTTACCTCTTCTGTGTTGGGCCATGTTACCGCTTCTGTGTTGGGTCATGTTAACGCTTCTGTGTTGGGTTATGTTACCTCTTCTGTGTTGGGCCATGTTACCTCTTCTGTGTTGGGTCATGTTACCGCTTCTGTGTTGGGTTATGTTACCTCTTCTGTGTTGGGCCATGTTACCTCTTCTGTGTTGGGCCATGTTACCTCTTCTGTGTTGGGTCATGTTACCTCTTCTGTGTTGGGTCATGTTACCGCTTCTGTGTTGGGTTATGTTACCTCTTCTGTGTTGGGCCATGTTACCTCTTCTGTGTTGGGTCATGTTACCGCTTCTGTGTTGGGTCATGTTACCGCTTCTGTGTTGGGTCATGTTACCTCTTCTGTGTTGGGCCATGTTACCTCTTCTGTGTTGGGCCATGTTACCTCTTCTGTGTTGGGCCATGTTACCTCTTCTGTGTTGGGCCATGTTACCGCTTCTGTGTTGGGTCATGTTACCTCTTCTGTGTTGGGCCATGTTACCTCTTCTGTGTTGGGCCATGTTACCGCTTCTGTGTTGGGTCATGTTACCTCTTCTGTGTTGGGCCATGGGGCGGCAGATAGCTTAGTGGTTAAGAGCGTAGTGCCAGTAACCGAAAGGTCGCTGGTTCTAATCCCCGAGCCGACTAGGTGAAAAATCTGTCGATGTGCCCTTGAGCAAGGCACTTAACCCTAATTGCTCCTGTAAGTCGCTCTGGATAAGAGCGTCTGCTAAATGACTAAAATGTAAATGTAAAATGTAATGTTACCTCTTCTGTGTTGGGTCATGTTACCTCTTCTGTGTTGGGTCATGTTACCGCTTCTGTGTTGGGCCATGTTACTGCTTCTGTGTTGGGCCATGTTACCTCTTCTGTGTTGGGTCATGTTACCTCTTCTGTGTTGGGCCATGTTACTGCTTCTGTGTTGGGCCATGTTACCTCTTCTGTGTTGGGCCATGTTACTGCTTCTGTGTTGGGCCATGTTACCTCTTCTGTGTTGGGCCATGTTACTGCTTCTGTGTTGGGCCATGTTACCTCTTCTGTGTTGGGCCATGTTACTGCTTCTGTGTTGGGCCATGTTACTGCTTCTGTGTTGGGCCATGTTACCTCTTCTGTGTTGGGCCATGTTACTGCTTCTGTGTTGGGCCATGTTACCTCTTCTGTGTTGGGCCATGTTACCTCTTCTGTGTTGGGCCATGTTACTGCTTCTGTGTTGGGCCATGTTACCTCTTCTGTGTTGGGCCATGTTACTGCTTCTGTGTTGGGCCATGTTACCTCTTCTGTGTTGGTCCTTATGAACATACATGCGAGCCCTCAGACCCCACACCCTGAGTCTTAGGGCTTTGTGTGATCTGATCATACAACCAGTGTTATTTGACCCGTACTGACCTTATTTCTCACTTGTACCTGTAGATGAGGCTCGGTCCAAGCAGTGTGGCGTCCTGGTACACTGTCTGGCTGGCATCAGCCGCTCTGTCACCGTGACCGTGGCCTACCTGATGCAGAGGCTCAATCTGTCACTCAACGACGCCTACGACTTTGTCAAGAGGAAGAAGTCCAACATCTCCCCCAACTTCAACTTCATGGGCCAGCTGCTGGACTTCGAGAGGACACTGGGGCTGCATAGCCCGTGTGACAACCGCTCCTCGTCCAATGAGCAGCTCTACTTCACCACGCCGACCAATCGCAATGTGTTCCAGCTGGACACGGTGGAGTCGACGTGAGGGACGGAGAAGAAAGGGTTTGGTTGCTATGTTGTTTCATCAGTGTCTCCAGGGTATTTTGTAGCCTGACAGGAAAAGGAAAACACACCTGGCACTGCAGCTTGTGGAGACTGACAAGACTCACCTGTCAAGCAAGTGATTTCAGTATGGATTTTCATAGGACACGTTGCCCGCCATTATGCTTACAACAGTACATCCTCTGTTTGGTCCAAGCTCTGTCTTATGCCTTAAAGGGATACTTCAGGATTTTGGCAATGAGGCCCTTTATCTACTTCCCCAGTCAGATGAACTTGTAGATACAATTTTTAGTCTCTGTGCCCAGTATGAAGGAAGTTAGAGTACGTTTTGCGACCCAATGCTAACGAACGTTAGCGCAATGACTGGATGTCAATGGGTATCAACTAGCATGCCAGCAGTTACCATAGACTTTCAGTCATTGCGCTAACTCTAGTTAGCAATTACGCTAACGCTAGTTAGCAACTTCTTTCAAACTGCACTCAGAGACATAAAAATGGTATCGCCGAGTTCATCTCACTCTGGGGAAGTCCCAAAATCCCAAAGTATCCCTTTAATGTTTTATTCAAGTAATCCAAAAGGCTTAGTGTGTAAAATAGTGAATGATGGTATACAATGGTTATTGCAAGAAATGTAATTATTATGAGCTAACTCGATGGTTTGACTGTTATTTCATATTCACCCGCTGGAAAGTGGATGTGTCAGTTGTTTTCAGAACAACTGTGGCTAATGCCTTGTTCTGAAGGGAGAGGTTGGCCAAGCAGAATGTGAATCAATGTTTTCTGGGACCAAAAGGAGATGTTTTGAATAGTACTCTTGCTGAGGGGACTGGGCTACTTTAAGTTGGCCTTGAATTACTTTGTAACATTCCTATTGATGACTGTTCTACACGTCGTCATTTGCAGTTAACATCAGAAGGGAGTGATCACTGAAAACATTTGCTGACAAGTGCTATGTTATGTTCTCTACTTTGCTGTCATCTTTAGAGTAAACATTTGTGTTTTCTATTCCATAATGTAAGAATGCAATACATTATGTCAGAACATTACAGTTTTACCTTTGTTGAATTGAGAGGGTCACCCTTTGCAAAATATTAAAGATGAAACACATTTTTTTTTTTTTTTTGCAAAGCTCTTGTAAATTGTGATAATTATAATAACATTGCATTGTTTGCATGTAATCAAGTTTAACTTCTGTATACTGTACCTCTTCTGCCTGTTGTTCCTGTGGCCTTTACCATACCTTCTAAGTTAACACTTAACTGTCTTTAACCAAGGACCTGGGTATAGTATAGTATTGTCATTTGCCATGCTTGAAATTAATGACTTGTATTATCATAGTTATGATCCATAATGGACATTTTTACCTTGTTTATTAAATCATGTATAAGTCATGTATTGACACAATCTTCAGCCTGCAGCTACTCTTCCTGTGGCGGAACCATGTTAAGGGAAACACATGGGGGGTAGATCATCTTAATATTGCAGATCTGTTCTGTATTTGCCAGTAATCGAAGTTGAATATTTTAGCGAATGAGAGACAGGAAATGAAAGGAAACGCGTGATAATGATGCTAATGTGTTCTTACCTCACGGAGAGACATTTTCAGGGATTTTTATACAACACATCTGTATCTTGTTATGGCATCTGAAACACATCAAAGGGCTGTGTTTATTTGGTATGGGTTTGTAAAAGATGTACAAAAGATTAGCTTGGTAACGGGGGACCTTTTCTCTGAATCATGAAGGATGTGAAATTGACCCGATTACAGTATGTATAGTGTATGTAAAACTAAATGTACAAGACATTTATGTACAAGTTTATACAACAAATATATTGTATATTTTTTACTTTCAAATGTGCTATGTATTCTTGTGTTATTACTGTCTTATTGTTATTGAGGTCTACTGCCGTGCCAAAGCATAGGCTACTCTCAGTCAACACTGACTCACTCAACATCCATAATGAAGAATATCAAGTCCAGTGCAGAGTCAGCCAGATGCTTTATTTCAGTAGGCCGTTGGATAGCCACTATCTGGCTGTCTGTCTGTGTCATGTTGTCTTCTGCAGCACAAGGCCCAAGGCTGTAGGTGTGGTGAGATATCCGCTCTCTGTCCACTCTGATGTCTGGCTTCCTGTCTGTTGTGGCCATGCAGGGCGTCTGATGCAGAGACGGACGGGTGGCAGGGCCAGATCTCTGAAACCACAACACAGCCACTTCCCTTCCCAGTCACTCACTCAGAGAAAAGAGGAAGATGAGACACCATAGAGCTGGAATATGTCCATTGGTGACAATTAAGGCCCATTTTACTTGATGACTAACATCCTTACTAAGAAGATTTTCTTTGAAGGGTGTTAAGCTGGTGTCTCATTCTCAGAACGAACGTTTCAGTGTTTCTTGGGTAAATGCAGTAATATCCTGTTTTGTTTTTCTCATATCTCGTTTGAAAAGAGGAAATGAGAGCTCGCCGCTACGTCGTCGGGTCCTGTTGGACGTTTGGGGAGGGTGGTGTGGGGGTAACTTTTTACTGTGGATATGTTCACATTAGCACACACATAAACTCACACATCTCATAAGAGAGCAGATTGAATAGCCTACTTTGTGTTCATTATTTTCAAAAAAGTATGTTTTTGTCTATTCACGGGTCCTCTTGTCATAGAAATATCCCTACCTCAGAGGTTTCAAGACTAAGGACCTATGATTAGCCTGAGGCTAGCTCTCGACAAACCTCACCTCAGCTCTTCCAAACCCTGGTCTGGTGCACCTGTTTGGGGAGATTTATACATTCACCACACCTCTGACCCAGGCCAAAACAACCATGATTCTCAGGCAATGCAATTCCTCTTTCTCAGAAGAAGCAGTTATGAAGTGAGGCTAAGCCTATGATATCCGTAGCGCTGAGCTAAGCTGAGGAAAATGAGGTTCAGCAGAAAATGACAGCAGAGTATTAGAGCTCACTATGGGGTTTTAAAATGGAGTACGCTAGGCATGGGTTGTTTCTTGTTCAGTTCCATCTTCATAAGTAGAACACTGAAAAGGACGTTACATAACTAAATAAAATAACATTATTTTCTTTAAATGTCCCCAATGTCAAGAAAAAAATATCCTCCTCCACAATTGTCTTCATTTGAAAGTAACACAGCAGCACAAGATAAGACTTGCCTAACAATAAAACCCTGGTGTGTGACGGGTTTCCTAGCGTGACAACCTGGCAGGCTGCATTACCTGCAGGAAACACCTGTGATTATGTCTCAGAGCCACCAACCCATGGCTAGGACAGGCAGAGGCCATGGATCCAGCGTGCCAGATAACGAGCAGAGATTTCTGACACTCCGGGCTCATGACGGGACAGACAATGCAGCTTCAATCGACTGGCCAATGACGTTTATCGCTGAGGCACAAGTGATATAGGGCTGATTGAGATAGCTTCCTTGGCAACGTAACACTGCAGGGGACAGAGTTGGGTAGGTTACTTTCTAAATGTAATTTGTTACTAGTTACCTGTCCAAAATTGTAATCAGTAACGTAACTTTTGGATTATATAAACTCGGTAAAGTAATCTGATTACTTTCCCCTGAAGAGGAATTAGAAGAAGAAAAAGGATCCATCAAACGCATTTGGTGTGTCATCGTAATGGTTTCTGACTTGTGGTCAGACTCACTCAGGTGGAACAGACTCATTTTATTTTATTTCCCCAAACATCCTTTTTGAATTTAAAAGTAATCCAAAAAGTAATGATCACATTTTTCAAAAGTATCTGTAATCTGATGACAATATTGTTGCTGGTAACATAACTGATTGCAGGTATATTTATAAAAAATGTAATCGGATTACAAGTAATCAGTTACTCCCCAACCCTGGCAGGGGATAATCGGAAGTACCCTGCCCTGATCAGGAAGCAAAGTAAAAAATAAGTTATAGCTTTTCCACTTCTATCCGTCCACAAGTTTGAGGTGATAGAATCTCCCTATAGCAACACGTACAGTGTTAATTAATAGATACTACAACACTTCCTTATGTGGAAATTCCCAGACATCTGTTGTGTAAAAAGTATGCCTCGATTATAAAAATCACATACCACTTTATCTTCAGAGGCAGAGCTCATCTGTGGTATCACATAATTCCCATTCAATCCATTGCCTCCTGCTTTCACAATTACTTTGGAATTATCCAAAGCATTATGTCCAACACATGTTTTCAAGGAATTCCTGTTGTATCATTCACGTTCCACTCTTATTTGTACAATCAGATTAAATGTGAGAGAACCAATAATACACAATACAGTGCATTCAGAATGTATACAGACCCCTTGACTTTTTCCACATTTTGTTACGTTACAGCCTTATTCTAAAATAATCAATCTACATACAATACCCCATAATGACAAAGCGAAAACAGGTTTTTAGACATTTCCGAATGCGCTGAATACTTTCCGAATGCACTGTATATACAAAAGTATGTGGACACCCCTTCAAATTAGTGCATTCGGCTATTTCAGTCACACCTGTTGCTGACAGGTGTATAAAATTCGAGCAAACGGCCATGCAATCTCCATAGACAAACATTGACAGTAGAATGGCCTTACTGATGAGCTCAGTGACTTTCAACGTGGCACCGTCATAGGATGCCAACTTTCCAACAAGTCAGTTTGTCAAATTTCTGCCCTGCTAGAGCTGCCCCGGTCAACTGTAAGTGCTGTTATTGTGAAGTGGAAACGTCTAGGAGCAACAACGGCTCAGCCGAGAAGTGGTAGGCCGCACAAGCTCACAGAACAGGACCGGCAAGTGCTAAAGCGCGTAGTGCGAAAAAATCGTCTGTCCTTGGTTGCAACACTCACTACCGAGTTACAAACTGCCTCTGGAAGCAATGTCAGCACAAGAACTGTTAATCGGTAGCTTCATGAAATGGGTTTCCATGGCCGAGCAGCCGTACACAAGCCTAAGATCACCATGCGCAATGCCAAGTGTCGGCTGGAGTGGTGTAAA